TACATACCCTCAGTCAAATTACTTCTTGGTCTGTTAATAAAACGTCCCTGTGCTAACAATAGCTGATGATGCTTCTTGTGTGTATGATTTACTTTAAGTTAATGTGGGAATTGATAGCCCAAAGAACTTTCCCCGTCTTGTAAGCTTCCAAACACCACCTACTCCACTACAGTAGCAGAACAGAACACATTCACATTATGATGGTAGTCTGTAAATATGGAAGACAGTCAGGTTTTGAGGTCAGACAATTAAGATGTGATTAAAGTGGAGACTTTCAGCTGCAATTCAAAGAATTTAATGAAATTATTATATTAATTGTTTAGAAATTATATTTTATACACAAATCCCCTTTCTCAGAGGCTTAATATGTGGTGATTGCATAGTAAAACTAAAAAACTGTTCACAGCCAGGTAAGGTTTACTCCTTCAGTATTCCATGACAGATTAGGCAGATTATAGACCTGTTTTACCTAAGACACGAAAATATAACGGCTGTAATCATTCAGTTGTATTTTATTGAAAGTGAAAATGGCAAGAACTTCTAGGAACTGGGATTTATTATAAAATGATATCTTTAAAAAAATTCTCATAACTATAAATACAAAACATTTAAAGTAAAACTAGTGCGTGCATTCAGAGCAGTGGTAGGAAACCTTGTGTGTTGGTGCCCTTTTGATCTTAACATCCACCAGCCCCTCTTTTTATTCTCTCAGTTAGATCTTTTATTTCAGTTAAATAATAAATAGATTATAATTTGTTTGTAGATTATTGTTACACTGCAGGTGCAAATGTAATGTACTTGGTTTCATGTAGCACTTTTCTAATCTTACTGTTGCTACTAGTCAAACTTTAACTATAAATTCATATAGCACTTCATTACCTTCGCTTCCATGGCAAATTCACCAGTCACCATGATACCTGTGATAGTTCCCCCATGAACTCTGTCTCCAGTTTACATTAAAAATACTCACAGACATGGCATATTCCATATTTGTCCCACACTGGGGACTCAGTCTCAGTACGCCTGAATGTGCAAACATTTGTAGCATCTTTACAATATAAAATTTTAAAATCTTCTAATTTCACTGTGTTCTGGGTTACTTTAGGTGAAGTCAATCAGTTTTTAATGCTGTGCAATGTCAAAACAGCTCAAAATTCACCTTAACAGTATAAAGGTTAAGGAGGTGGGAGTATCAGCTGTACAATCAATGAACATCTCCATGAATGGAAATACAAGAAGGAGCAAATCACTGGTTACACTTAGAAACCGTTAGCCCAGGGTAGAGTTTGTCAGAAACATGTAAAAGAGCCTGCACAGTTATGACAAATAGTCCTTTAGACAAATGAAACAAAGTTCAACAGTATCAGAATGATGGGGAAAAAAGAGCAATGGCTCATGATCCAAAGAAAACCACATCACCTGTCAAACAGCACAGAGGGAGTGTTATGGTACCGACCTTTAAGATCACCATGACTGATGGTTGATGATTTGATTGCTGATAAATGTAGGATGAATCGTGAAGTGTACAGGGCTGTACTCTGGTCAGATTCAGCCAAATGCAGCAAAACTGATCAGACAGCGTAACACAGTAGAAATTGACAATGATACAAAGCATAGCATTTTCTCAAGGCAAAGAAGTTAGATATTCTTCAACTCAGTCATCTTAACCGAGAAGAGCAGCTTTTCAGTTACTGAAGATGAAACTAAAGACACAAAAACCCAAATGAAGGTGGCCACAGTAAAGACCGAGCAAATGCTGTGAATCCAGGGCTGGAGCATAACGGTATTTGTTTATATCCATAAATGACTTTGTCATTGACAGCAAAGTATTTTCATCAATCTGTTGAAAACAATCTTTATATTTCAAATCGTGTAAGTTTGTCCACTTACTTTTGAGCCTCTGAAAGTGGTTGACTGTAAAAATGCAATACTTTTGTTAAACACCTTGAATTAAAGCCGGAAGTCTGCACTTCAGATACACAATTTTGCCTCTGTGCACCACTGTGGTGTACAAAGAAAATGCCACTGTATTAAGACAGGCTGAACTTGGTTCTGACCGGCTCTGGGAAAACCGACCCAGTCAACGAGCTCATTTGTATTTTATAGTGTTGTATAAAAATCAGGCAAAATCTCAGTTAAATTAATCTTCATGTTTTCTTAAATGGCATCTAATCTCACGCTGCTGTATTTTTACTGCATGTCACACTACAATGAGTGTTACAGTTAATGATAATAATGATGCCATGATGATTTGTCAAGTGTTAACTTGGATGTAAAAACTGCAGACCTCCAAACTGGCTGCTACAGTACTGCTGAGGTCCTGTTTTATCATATGTGAACTTTTATCCGACGGCCCCCTGCTCTTTTGGAGTTTTCTTTTTTAGACTGACTGAAGTTACAGACTTGAATATGATTGATCCCGAGTATCAGAATGGGTGAACTACAGAAGCACAGGTTTCCTGTACGGAGACGCTCACCATTACAGAGCCACACAAACAGTATTTGCTCTTTTCCTGACGTCTAAAGTCTTGAAGCAAACGGAAGCCATATTTCACTTGTTGATTATTCAAAACCAGTTGGATGTATTTTCATGTCTTTGTTTGCCTAAAGGATTATTTAAAAGCTCTATTTATGAGATGTGTGATGTTTTGAAACTTGAGGAAAATGTGAATTTTATTTATTTTTACGTTTGTCCGGCACCTGCAGAGAGAACATTTTAAGTTACATCACTGAGCTCTGCTGCACCCTGATATGCAATGTGACTGTTTTTGGAGAATATTTGAAGGGCTAAAGTAACCCGATGAGTTTATAAGTTATATATTAGTCTTCTGTATATGGAGCAGTTGCAGACTGTTCTGTTTGAATTGAAAACTAAAGGAATGTGGACATGTGCCCACTGAATCTTTAAAGACACAACTATGCCTGACAGCTCACTGGGTGAATGAGAACAGAGGTCTTCTCCAGTATTTATAGTTTATAGTTGTGATGGTATGAAAATGGTAAATATCTTTATGTATGAATGATCGCCATGAAGCTGGACAACAGATAAGCTTTTGAACAATGTGATTATTTGAAGTAGTTTACTGCTTGTTCAAAT